GGATGAAGTAGACTGACATAGGGTCAAATAGAGAAATAAAGCATTTGACTTACATGTAAGTAGACTGATATAGGGACAAAGAGAGAAATAAAGCATTTGACTTGCATTTAAGTGGACTGATATAGGGATAGAGAAAAATATAAGGTTTGACGTGCATGAATTACTTTGTTTGAAAGTAAGTTATGTTTGGGAAAGGTTATGAATAATTACTTATACAATTTCTAATATAATATAGATATGTGAACATTATGTACAAAATTTGATACAATTAAGCCTTGTTATTATTTAGTAGCAGCAACTGCTTCCAAAAAGATAATTGTTTAACTTTGATTCATTATTATTATTGAATTTACCAATAAATGAAGCATTGTTAGAATTCATTTTAAATATAGTATGTAAAAACTAAAGATGTGTTTCACATGGAAAATATCACTAGGAAAAAGAGAGACCAGCCATGACTTAGTGGTTATATATTTTTTTGGCTGTGGATAAAAAGTTCCAAGGTTTGAGCCACGATATGCTGTTGGATTTGTTCTACACATTCAGCTGTGGGGATGTTGTAACCATACAGCCAATTTTACTATTTGGTTATGAGTAATATTTAGGTGATGAGTGCTGCTAACTAGTTGTCATTCCTCTGGTCAGCAGATGTGTTGGACCTTTAGAGGTCATTGGCCTGTCTGTTTAGCCCATTAATTTCTTAAGTGAACTTATGGTTATACAAAAAGAGCTATTCAAAATTTTTGTGCAGCAAGACAACTTTACTCCAATCAGATATTCTGCTATTGAATGTAATGTTTAGCATGTTACTTAATTGTTTTATGTTTATATATTTAAAACAAATTACTAAATTCATTTTTTGATGTTTGTATTAGAAATGATAAAGTACATAATTGTTTTGCATGGAGTTAGACTTTTTCATGAGCAACATTTTCACATCAGATGTTTTAAAAATACTGCTGGAGACCTTGATCCCAGAGAATGGAACTGCTTGTTGTTAGATGTAACTTCATTTCCTGTAATTTTAAAAACTTATCACAGTTGGTGTAGTTACTTTATAGATAAAAGAACATAATCATTTATAATCAGATGTACTTCTGCAAGGTCCCAGAAAGTGTACTTTTTCAAAAGTAAATAAAACAAAATTTAACAAAATATTTCTTACTTTTGAAATTCATATGTTATGCTGTGTTGTAGCTTAAAGAGTACATAATTCTTCTTGTGATTTATGGCATGCACATGTTTTAGTAATATCAAGACGGTACAAATTGTAAAGCTAAGCTTCCCTTGTGTGATGTAATTTTAGTTTCTACTGACTGACAGGCAACACACCACTGTATAGTGGTGGAACTGGTTAAAACAAATGACCCATCCAGGTGGCCTTTGGTCCGCTTTCAGGGAAATGATGAATTGTGTGGTTGATTTAGTATTGTATATTTTCAGTCTAAATATGTTTTATAGATTTCATAATAAAATTAATTATGTTCTGATGCAGCTATTGGGTAATAAGCCCTTCATGACCTATTGTATTTTTTATTTATATAATGTACAATTATTTATGAGAAATATAACCCTATTTTCTGTCTTCTTAAGGTGTGCCTTTTTAGGTTGAAAATGGAAAATACCACAGGAAAAATAACTATATAACCAAAACCACATCTTCATGCATGTTATTTTATGACAAAATGTTTTAATTACATGAAATTTTATACTAGCATAATATCCGTGTTTTCTAGGGTATTATTCATTTAAATTTGTTATGCTTCTTTTTGAAGAATTAGTTTGTTTATCTCTTATTAACTTTTGCATGGAATGACCTTTTTTGTCTTTTAATTTATTAGTTTCATATTTCAATCATGCACAAAGAAAAATTTGATGCTGACAGAACTTTAAATTTTTTGCACTATATATATATATATCAAGAAATAGGTTGCTATTTGATGAAGCAAATGTTAAAAGAATGATTGGTATTTGTCTTACACAGATAGCAGAATTTCACTGAAAACGTTTCAATCAAGAAAGCTGAAATGATAATGTTTTAGAAGCTTTCCATCTCAATTCATAGTAAGACCTGGCTGCACTTTGTATACAAGAAATTTGGTATGAGTGATTGATGGTATTGAAATCTTATTGGTTGATTAGGTGGATCTGGTTCTTCAGTGGATGATGAGATGGTTGTGGTTTTGTTTCAGTGACACTTGTGTGTTCCTGTGTGTGAATTAAACATGAAATATGAAACATCTGATACAACATTAAAAATAACAAAAGTAAAAGAGCAAAAATCTACTGTTAGGGGGCAGGAAGAGGGTCAAAGGTCCAACAAAGTCGGACCTAAAAATCCATTGCAGCAGGTGATGTTTCTGTGTGTTTATCAGTGGTAACTATAGGCTGCCAATTTTCAAATGTTTGTTGCTGTTGTGTGAAGGCTTTAGTACTTTTATGTAGAAAGCTTCCTTGATATTCCTGGTTTTTCCAAAACTTGTCTGTCTTAACAAGTTTGTAGTTGTCATAGTTGTTCTGTTTCAAGAAATTGTTCTGATTTGGCAGTTTTGAATTTTTATAGTTTTTTTTTACTTCCTTTACGTTCTTTTGTTCTGGCACCAAATTGTTGTCCTATCTCTCCAGTGTATCTCTTTGCATGAAAAAAAGTTTACGGATGACATTTTTTTTGTGCTTGTTGTCTGTTGGATTTTTTTTTATTAGCATTGTGTGATACTAGATTTCATAGAGGGTGGGTAGTATGACTGGGAGCTTAGGGTATTGTCTGTATGAGTTGGTTTTTTGAATACTGTAGTTATGACTTTGTCATCATCTTTGATTAGAAGAAGGTGGACTGTACACAGATTGTAGTTGGTTCTATAATAACTTCAATCCTTTTTCAATTCTGGTCGATAGGAAATCATTATTTAACGGCCGTTTTTTGGTAACTGAGAGTTAAATAGTAGATTTTGTGTTTTACAAAATCCTTGGAGTAGTGAATGTAAGTTTTCTGTGTTGCCTTTTAGTGGAGACAGTATTGATATCAGAAAACTAGATAGATGATGGCAAGGTGAGTTCATGGGTCTGAGATGGATCTTGGGTTTGTGGATCTTGGGCAACCTGTAAAGTTGAGGGAGATACCACTGCTACCAGGGGTTGTGTTTGTATTTGTAAAAGTGCATTGTTTAAACACATTCTTTTAAAAAGCCTACATTTTCAACTGTAATACTTTATATATATATATATATATATATACACACACACATACACACTTATTGTATCAAGTAGTTAATTGCTGATGTAACGTTATTTCAGGTTAATTAACACCCAACGTCATGCATAGTAGTATATGGGATATTGCAAGGCCAAACATTAAACTTATGCATTGTTGAATGTGTAGAAACAATGAAATATTCACTTATCACTTACCTGTTGAAACAGTACTGTGTAACTTTTTGAGACATTTATTCTAGACAATTTAGCATTGTTTTCATGTTTATGAGTGTATTTCAAACAGTGTTGGAGCCTTTAGTGTTGTATCTATAATTCTGCAGTTGCTTTAACCCTTTGTAACCAACCAAGAGATACAATTAATTATTTTTGGTACAAATGTGTACCTAGAAATTCTTCAAGTTTCCAAAATTTAAAGTAAAACAACATCAAAATTACAATAACATCAGTTTATTTTGTGGAATTTTGATAACTGTAACTTACAAAGTTTGAAAACCATTAGGTATGATACACGTTAACTTTTTAAATATTAACTGCTTAACCAAATTTTCAGTTTTTTTTACATGAAAGAAAAGATATGTCCACGATAATAACATTTTGGATTAATAAGTATTGATCATATAGTCGTAAAGTAACATGCAAAAGTCAAAGTTAAAATAATGTTAATATATTCTGCAATATGAAAGTTTTAATTATTATAGCTTTACCTTACAAAGTTTAAAACCTAATTAGGAAAAGTAAGAAGTAACAACAGAGTGTTGCCAAATAACATTAATAATTTTATTTTGGTGAGAACACTTTAAATTCTTAGTTTTCAACTGGGGGCATGGCCTAAATGAAAGTCTAATTTTTCTCATATTTACTAAACTCTGTAGTTGTTGGATATATGCATCCAGGACTTTTTTAACAGGATGTTTGCAGAAGTGGAAAATTTTTCACATTACATTACATAAGAACACTTTGTAATTTGAACCAGTAGGTCTTGTTACATCTTCACATTAGAAATAGTGTTGTAATTTTTTTTTTCATTTTGATTTCCTGCATATAAAATGCAAAATCCTATCTTAATGTGAACTCTGTGTTACTGGTTCTTAGAATTTCTTTGTTCTTCTAAACCAAGTTCCAGTTTTTTCTTTGTTTATTGTTTTGCTGATGAGTCTTTATTTCTTGTCTTTGGGCTTAGGATTTATCTTTTATTTGCTAGGTCTTTCTAATGACTGTTTAGTATTGCAGTTTTAATCTTTGGTATTTTAAGATTTCCGTGCTGTTTTCTTTGTTTACAGGAAAGATTGTAAAACTATGAATTATTACTTACAGGAAAGTGAAATATTTTTATATATATATATATATTTTTTTTTGTTCATTTTAAATTTCTGTGTTTTAGCACAATTCTCCATTTGTTTGGGAACAGCCAAGCTGGAATGATTTGGTTAGTATCTGTAAATTTGAGTTTGTTTTAACATACTTAACAGCATTTGTTATTTGCAGTGTATAAATGTTTCCTTTCACATTTCCTGCTTAGTAGCTAAGTATCAGACGTTTTTCTACTTGAGGTTGAATAGTACAGTATAGTACTGTAGTATTCATTTGCTTATAGTGCTTATAGAAAACATTATAAATAAAGGCTTAAATATAAATATAAACATTGCAACTGTAAAATAATCTTAATATATTATTATCATCAATATTTTAAACATCAAATGTTATATACTTATATTTGAGCCTTTCTTTGTAATATTTTCTCTTAAATATGTATATGCTGTATGTTTTATCATATATTTCATCATATTGTTGCCGTTTAAATTTGTTCATTTTAGTTTTCAAAGAATTCTGTCTGTGCATTTCTTATTAAATATCATTTGTGTATAGTAGGAGTAGCATGTGTTCATTCTTACCTTGATTTTTTAGGTATTTTCTTTCAATAATACTTGTTGATTGTGGTCTTGACTTTTTTTATGACTTTTTAATGATAGGGTTTTTTGTACAGATAGTTTTGTTTTCCTAACATTCATGTTAATTGTTGTGTTGATTATGTTTTTATAACAATTGTTCTTTAGTGACTTAATGTAATTTTTCTGTAGCAACAATATATCATAATGTAGTTGTTCATTGCTTTATTTGTTATGATTGTTTTTGTCTTTGGAAGATTACACATTAGTTACCTTTACCCACCCCAATTTTTTTTTCTTTCTAAACCAGATAGTAATCGAGGCATATCAATTACATTTTGGTTACATTTGTTCAATCCAACTTTCCAGTTTCATGATGGCATGTGTTTTTCAGTAACACAGATAACTGGATAGTAATGTTACTTGTCTTAGTATTTTTTTCTGTTAACAAACATTGTTATTTCATATTAATGGAATACCCTTCAGTGGTGAGTCTTCTGATTTTTAAACTGTTGTTGGAGGTTGTAATCTATTGTGAATGCTACTGTTTAAATAAACTACAACATAGAAATTACACCATAATAATTATCTCTTTCAAAAGCAGTAGTGAATGCAATATTCCACCCTGTAATATAATTTTTTAAAGATATTTCAAATAATAAGTTTGTGAAAAAGCATTAAAAAATAATATTTTGAACACCGAGTTTAAAATAAGACAGTAATCCTGAAATACTTGAACCCTTGTTAGGAGTGGAAGATAAATGATACAGCTGGGACAAACACGCCATCTAGTACTCTACCCAATCTTTCGAGCAAGACCAACCCATTCCTTACATCTTTGTTTACCGAGGCAACTCCTACCACATCTAATAATGAGCAAATAGTTGACCTTTTCTCTTTGTCTTCCACGGATGGGCCTCTTACAGTACCCAGCCCTGCCAAAGCAAGTGATGATCTCTTTGGCCTTAGCGTCAACCCCTTTGCAGGCAGCCTTATGAGTGGCAGTGAAAACCAACAAAGTTCCTTGTTTGCCCCATTTGGAACTAATGGTAAAAACGTGGTAGTTATACTGAGTCACAAAACACATGATTTTTGTTTAGTTTATAGGCTAGTTAGAATGTAAGTATAATTGAGAAACTGAAACCTAAATTTAAAAAAAATTATAGCAAAGAACCATTTTATATCTGGAAATACTATTACCATTTATAATTTGAAATAATGCTGTAGAGTGAAGCATACATGCCTAGATATATATAAAAAAACAATACCTGCAAATATGTTATAAATAATCTTTATTTTGGTAGTTTATATTTATGGCAAAATGTGATAACAAAGAGAAATGAATTTAATAACTGCAGGAGTTTCATCAACAACCACAGCTCCTTCCACCTCGACTGATCTCTTTGCAACAGATGATTCGTTTGCTGTGGCATTTGGAAATGAAACGGCATCATCTGTTGGTATGTTGGAAAATTAAAAATATTTTTCTTTTTAGTTTTCTAACCCCAAAACATTTTTCTTGCTGATACAAGTGTAACCTATCCAGGGTATGGTGTACTGTGTGCTCACTTAAATATACCATTTGAACAACTATATTGTAGCTTCTTTCCTACTAATTGCCACTAAGGAACCTGAAATTACAGCAAATACACATGCAATAAGGTCAGGTATTCTCGGACAGAACTGCATAACAATATTGTTATGTTATCCAATATATATAAGTAATTACTGAAATTATGTTTTATTATTCCCATTTTAAAGAGTTTTTCTTACTGTAAAGGCTGTAAAGTATATTTCCTTAAATTATATATATACACCTGGAAAAAAGTTAAGCACCCCCAAATATTTTTCAGGATTGCTTATTGAAAATAAGGTGTAATTTTCATGATGTTGAGCAATGTTCATAATTTCAAACATAATCAAAAGGATGTGAGCGTTCAGGTGTGACATTTAAATCAGGCGCGTTTTTTTCCCCACGTGCAACTTGCTCCCTTTTTCTCATCCAATATGCACTATT